GTCAAATGCTGCATATAGGTTAAAAAGACTGGGGAGGGGGTTTTACCACAGTCACAGTCACATGGGAGATCAGGTGTGGTTTTGATAGGAACCTTATCTAAAATGTGGCAAGGGTAGAAACCTGATTGTTGTGATTCACTGTTTTGGGAAAGATGGGAATGGATTAGGGAGGTGATGAGGATTTGGAAAAAGGGAGTTCGGAGATTGATTTGCAAGGACACAGGGATAAAGGAGTATTGTTTTGAAGAGGGTGGGGGTGATGACGACAGATTGAAAGGAGAAAGGGACAACATCTGAAGAGAGGGAATGGTTTTCAATCTCAGTGACCATGGGGAACAGGAGGGGAAGGTGGGAATGGGATCGAGGGAACAGGAGGGGCTCTCTTGGACAAGGTGAACTCTGAAAGAGCATGAGGAGAGAGAGGAAGGAAACTGGAGAAAGCTGTGAATTCAGGGCTTGGACAGGGAGGAGCATTAAAGGAGATTTGTCCAGGCGGCCTAGTGGAATGGAGGCACATGGCTGAGGCAGCTGATTGGATCATCTCCATTTTAGGGACAAAGAAGCTCCATGATTTTCTTGCACTTGTTTTTGGAGGTGAGGATGGAGGCGATGGGAGGGGGCTTTAAGAAAATGGGATTACCTTTACATTGCATGATGGTGCTGGAATAGTTGGCAGCTTTAGCAGCTGGGAGGAGGATCTGGGAAAGGTTTCAGTGACCCAGCTAGATTTGGCAGTGGATGAAATACCAGTTACCCACCAGATCTTTTCACGTCTATATCCCTATTCCCCACTCTCCTCGCCTGGTTGCTCAGCATGTTTCTTAAATAAGTCAATAATTTTATTTATTAAAATTTAGCTAAATTCTTGTAAGAAGAGTATTATCACACTCCCTCTGCAAATCCATACAAATCATACGTACAGCTATTTCACTATATGTTTGGGTCTGGAATACACTACTGCAAGTCTAATAGAAGCAGAGTCAAATGAGGTATTTGAAAGGGCATTGGATTATTGTTCTTATTTAAATGATGATCTAATTCGTAAGACTACGGGGAAAGGTAGGATAATGGCACTAAGGCATGATGCTTGTTTGGAGAACCAGTGTGGACACAATGGGCTGAATGGCCTCCTTCTGCACCCTAACACTGTCATTTATTTCAGTCAGCTGTTTAAAATATTCATTTGGATTTGTCAGGCCTGACCTACAGTTTACAAATCCATGCAACCTCTCTCCGGTTTGCTGAAAATTTTCAATGTGTTCACTTCTCCTTTCCTTAATTATAGACTCTAGAAATTTCCTGACAGGAGATGTTAAGTAAACTTCTTTGATCGTCTGGCTTCTCCCTCTCACCTTTCTTCAATAGCAATTGGATTTTATTATAGAAAGTCATACTGCGCAGAATCAGATCCTTCAATCCAACTTGTTCATGCAGACCAAGTTTTCCAAACTAAACTAGTCCCATTTGCCTGCGTTTGGCCCATATTCCCCTAAACCCAGCCGGACCCGAAACGTTAACTCTGATTTCTCTTCACAGATGCTGCCAGACCTGCTGAGCTTCTCCATCAACTTCTGTTTTTGTTTCTGATTTACAGCATTTGCAATTCTTTTGGTTTTTATATAGTGCCAAACTGAAATGTTGTTTTTATTTTATTCAATCAGTGAATGTGGGTGTCCCTAGTTAGGCCAGAATTTATTGCCCATCCCTAATTGCTCAGAAGCAGTTAAGAGTCAACCACATTGCTGTGGTTTTGGAGTCACATGTAGGTCAGACCAGGTAAGGATGACAGATTTCCTTCTGTAAAAGACATTAGTGAGCCAGATGGGTTTTTCCAACAATCAACTATGGCTTCACGGTCGTCATTAGACTCTCAACTCCAAATTCTTTTTTGAATTCAAATTCCAGCTCTTGACATGGTGGGATTTGAATCCAGGTGCCCAGAACATTAGCTGAGTTTCTGGATTAATAGTCTAGTGATAATACCTCAAGGCCATTGCCTCCTCAGTGTTCTGTACCTGTTCTTTGCATCTTTATGGTGTTTGCGCAAAGGTGGATTCACAGCAAATGTATGAGATTACATTACTCCTCTTTTTCAGGGAATCTAGGTTTCATGCTTTACATTGTGGTACCATCAGAGGAGCAAACAGCCATAGATTATATATTACAATGCAAACTTATTTTTAACATTTAGTAAGAAAGTAAACCCAATAAAGCAGCAGAATTAGAATGGTAATCCAGAGTTTTTGATTTAAGAATCGCTAACTTAATCCTAACTGTCTGTGTGTATGCAATGATTTGCTTTTTCAATGACTGTATCTGAAGCGTGGCATTTAAATACCAGGTGACCTGGATTTACCCATTCACGTGAGCTGTCAAAATTGAATCCATTTACTCTGGCTACTTAAAAAGGAGTTTAGCAAACTGAGTGTAAAATAATCCACCTCAGGAGGGCAGTGCTGCCCAAATTTAATGGGATTTACTGACCATTTCCAACTCGGTTGGAGATTCCTGAATCCATTCGAGGTGAATGTACTTACCTTTTGAAGGGTAACCCTTCCTCACGTTCCACCAAAGATTTGGAGAGATCCCAAGAAATAAAAGCTACTCATGGTTCTCAGTGGCTATTTGTGGTATTGTTCAGTAAAATGTAAGTTTTGTCTCTCTTCCTGAGGCACTGTTTGTTTTGCTATAGCAATCTTTCAATGCTGTCGCTAGCTGACCTGTTTGCGTCTGTCTCTCTTTTTCATTCTTTTTCTAGTTTTCTACAAGTATATGCTCTATGTAGGCCTGACTATTCCTTTCCTTTCTCCCTGTTGGTGTGTACACTTTTTCTGTTATACTGTGTGCTGTTTTGCATAAATCTGTATGATTTTAGTTGAGTGCTCAAGTATCTGTACGTTTTGCACTGTTTATGCCTTTCACACTGGATTATTGTGTATTTTGTGCTGTGCATGTATTAATGAACATTTTGCGCCTTATGTTTGCTAATTATGCTTTGGACTGCATGCATTGGCTGTATGTTTTGCACTGTAGCACTGCGGGAGTATGCATTGTACCTTTTGCACTAGTATGAGTGACTGTTTCATGCTGCATGCATTACTGTGCAGATGAGTCATGAGGGAGAGACTCAGTATTCAATTCCAGTGTCAAGGAGTACGTATATGTAGATGTTGGATAGAAAAATTGAACTTTGGTGCATAAGAAAGCTTTTGTTCATGTGTCTGGACGTCACAGACAAGGCTAGCATTTATTGCCCATCCTTAATTGACCTCGAAGTCACTGATTTAAGGCCTTCTGCATTTGGACATGATGTGCTTCGGTATTTGAGATGTTGAAAATGGTGCTGAGCATTGTGCAGTCATCAGTGAAAAGTTCCACTTCTGATCTTATGATGGAAGGAATGAATGAAGCATGTGAAGATATTTGGACTGAGGATAGGTCGTTAGGAACTTCTTAAGATATGTCCTATAGCTGAGATGGTAACCTTAAACAACACTACCATCTCCCTTTGTGCAGGAGTGACTCTGACCAGCTGAAAGTTTTCCCCCGATACTCATTGTCTTCGATTTTACTAGGGCTCCTTGATGCCCACTTGGTCAAATGTTGACATGATGTCAAGGGCTGTCATCCTCGCCTCATCTCTAGAATTCAGCTCTTTTGTCCATGTTTGAACCAAGGCTGTAATGAGGTCAGGAGCTGAGTGGCCCTGGCAGAACCCAAACTGGGCGTCACTGAGCAGGTTATTGCTGAACAGGTGCTGCTTGATAGCACTGTTACTGACACCTTCCATCACCTTCCTGATGATCGAGAGGAGACTGATGGGGCGGTAATTGGCCGGGTTGGATTTGTCCTTTTTTCTACAGAACATATCCGGGTAATTTTCCACATTGTCAAATAGATTCTAGTGCTGCTGCTCTACTGGAACAGCTTGGATAGGGGGAACGGCAAGTTCTGGAGCACAAGCCTTCAGTACTATTGCCGGAATATTGTCAGGGCCCAAAGCCTTTGCAGTATCCAGTGCTTTCAACCGTTTCTTGACATCACTTGGGGTGAATTGAATTTGCTGGAGACTGGCATCTGTGATGCTTGGACTATTGGCAAAGGCTGAGAAGGATCATTAACTCGGCACTTCTGGCTGTAGATTGTTGCAGTCTTATCTATTGCACCGATGTGCTGGGCTCTTTCATCATTGAAGATGGGGATATTTGTGGACCCTTCTCCAGTGAATTGTTTAAATGGCCGTCACTCTTGATAATTGACTGTGGCTGAATTGCAGAGGTTATGTTTGATCTGTCAGTTATGGAATTGCTTAACTTCCCACTTAGTACAGTGCTGGTGCCGCGAAACATGATGGAAGGTATTCTCAACGAGAAAATGGGTCTTCCCCGCAAGGCACCTGGTCATTCCTAATGATAGTGCCATATACTGCGCCAAGTAGTTTGGTGAGGATGACAACAGAGATTTTTCTGTCCCATTAGTTCCGTCACCACCGGTCGAAGACCCAGTCGAGCAATTATGTTCTTAAGAACTCGACCATCTCACTCACTTATGGTGCTGCTAACCACTCCTGTTGATGGATGTTTGAAGTTCCCCACCCAGAGTACATTGTGTGCTGTCATCACCCCCAGTACTTCCTCCAAGTCTTGCTCAACGTAGAGGAGAAGTTGATTCCTCAGCCCTGGGAGGACGGTATGTGGTAATCAGCAGGAGGTTTCATTTCCCTGATGCCGTGAGACTTCATAGGGTGTGGAGTCAACATTGATGATTTCCAGGGCAACTCATTCCTGACTATATACCACTATGTCACTGCCTCTGCTGGGTCTGTCCTGCGATGGGACAGATCATATCCAGGGATGGTGACGGTATGATTCTGAGAGTATGACCATGTTTAGCTATTGCTCCCAGATTTTAATGAGGAGGACCTTGCAGAGTGAACATTGTTATTTCTGGTGCCGAGGTTGATGCCAGGCAGTCTAATTTGGTTTCTTTCTTGTTTTCAGACTTTGTAGCGGTTGGGTACAATTGACTAGCTTGTTAAGCCATTTCTGAAACCATTTCAGAGTCGGTCGCATTGTTGTGAGCTATATATAAGCAAAAGTAAGGGCTGCAGTTTTCCTTCCCTCGAGTGCCAATAAAGAACTATTTTTTACGGCAATTGAAAATGGTTTTATGGTAATCGTTGGACTGGCTTTTAAATCCAGATTCATTCATTGAATTAAAGTACGAACAAGCTGCTCTGGTCAGATTTGAACCCATGTCCCCAGAGCCTTGGCCTCTCATTCTTGGTCTGCTACTATTTGTTAACTGCAATAATGATTTAGTACAGGGCAGAAGAAGCACTCACTGCGTTTATTTCGATGAAACACTGATATATTCAATTCAGGTTCCAACCAGGAGGAGCTTCCCTTCATTTTAAATTGTGAACTAGCAAAATTACCCACATGGTTTTGTCAAAGTAGTCTATCCCTAAAGTCTTGTCATCGTCTATTTGCTTCAAATTTTAAAAAGGGCTTTACTGAATATGTGAATTACAAATTGACAATCAAATGGAGTAAATATTGAGGAACATGCAACATTCCTAGGTGTTGTGATTGATGCTATTAAATTGGAAGAAATATACAGCAAAAGTATCGAAAAATGTTTCTTCTTGCATAGGAATAAAATGTAAATTGAGACATTTACTGATTCAAGCATTATCTGCTGTATACATTTATGTTCGTTCGCCACATTTAATCTTTGTAATGATGATAACAAATCATAAATAAAGCTATATACAAGTTGCGCAGGGGCAGGATGTTTCGGTAACGTTGACCTATTGTTTATTTGCTTAAGACTTTGAAATTTGAAGATACACGTTTTTTTAAAATGCCCTCATCAAATTTCTGTTTCATTTTGATCAATTACCATCTTTGTTTATCAAAATGTTTCAACTGATGTCCATCGTTCTAACTGCCCTACCGCAAACTATTGTAACCTAATTTGGCCCACCCAAGAACTGGTATAATGCCTAAATTAATCTCACAGTCAATTAACTGGTCCAGACACTCAAACCCGTGGACACACAAACTTTTGTTCAAGTCTGAAATGAAAATATGTCCAGCTAGGTTGTTGCAAATATCTGACTATCGGTTCCTTTTGTTTAAAAAAAAACGTTGTAGGATTATCTCAAATATTGCTCCTAATACTCATCATCTTTGCTCTCATATGTGAATCGGCACTTTCCCACTGTAAATATATGAACTCAGACAGATATAGTAAGAAACTTATCATGGTGTATAACATTATTCAACTTACTGGTTTTCTCACCTTTGATACATCATGTCTTGAAACAGAAAATGTTGGGCATGGCAGGTAGAGCTGCATGTGTGGAGAGAGAAGCAGGGTTCACAGTGTTTCAGACTTTCATAAGAATTGGGAGCCATGAGAAAAGCTTTTAAGAGTGTTGAAATGGCAGGGTGTGGAATGAAGAAAGGGAAGGTCTGGGAGAGGATGGAAAAAGGGGGAACATATTAAATGACAATTAAGCGGGAATAGTTAAAGGGAGTGCTAATGGAACAACAAGCAAAGGATATGTTTAGAGGAGAGTTTTTTGGTGAAATAATGAACAACTGCTATCCAGAAACGAAGTTAACAGCAAAACTGCGAAGAAAATGGGACAAAATGGCGGTAATGTGCTGTGAGTCGAGATTTTGGTCTGAAAGTATTCAGCTCCATGGTGAGTCAGAGGCTGAAAAGTGTCAAATGAAAGATGAGGCATTGTTCCTCTAGCTTGCGTTGGGCCTCATTGGAATTCTGCATCAGGCTGAGGACATAGTCATACAGCACGGAAACAGACTTTCGTTCCAACTTGTCCATGCCAACCAAGTTTCCCAAGTAAACTAATCCCACTTGCCTGGATTTGGCCTGTATCCCTCTAAACCTTTCCTATTCATATACCTATCCAAATGTCTTTTAAATGTTGTAACCGTACCTACATCTACCACTTCATCAAGCAGTTCATTCCACATACAAAACACCCTCTCTGTGAAAAAGTTGCCCATCGGGCTGCTTTTAAATCTTTCTCCTCTCACCTTAAAAAATATGTCCCCTAGTTTTGAACTCTCCCACCCTATGGAAAAAACTGTTTGCTATTCAGATTACTTATGCCCCCCTTGATTCTATAAACCTTAATAATCCCCTCTGGGGAGGCGATGGTATTATCACTGGACTGTTAATCCAGAGACCCAGGTAACATTCTGGGGACTCTGGTTTGAATCCATCCACAGCAGATGGTGGAATTTGAATTCAATAAATATCTGGAATTGAGATTCTAATGATGACCATGAATCCATTGTTGATTGTCGGGAAAACCCATCTGGTTCGCTAATGCCTTTTAGAGAAGGAAACTGCTGTCCTTACCTGGTCTGGCCTACATGTGACTCCAGAGCTACAGCAATGCGGTTGACTCTGTCTGGGCAATTAGGGATGGGCAATAAATGCTGCCTAGCCAGCGATGTCCTCATCCTGTGAATGAATAAAGAATTTAGATCCTTCTTAAATGAAGTGACCAATACTGCGCTGGTCTCACCAGTACACTGCATAATGGATCCAGAGCATCTCTACTTTTGTATTCAATTCCCCTCATGATAAATGAAAACATTATATTAGTTTTTCTATAGACTTGCCGTACCTGCATGCTCACCTTCAGTAATAGATGCTGGGAGTCCTGTGTGCAGTGCTGGCACTATAGAAAGGACGGGGATGCAGATTTGCCAGGATGGAGCATTTGCACGATAAAGCTGGGCTGGATGTGCTTGGGTTGTTTTTTTTTCGAGCACGGAACGTCGTGTAGGGCAACCTGATAGAGGCGTATAAGATTATGAAGGGCATGGACAGGGTGGATGATTTCTCAGGCTAATTCTTAGAATAGGTGGCTTGTCTTATGAGGAAAGATTGGACAGGCTGGACTTGTTTAGAAGAGGAAGCGGTGACTTGATTGAAACATAAAATCTGAAAGGTATTAACAGGGTGAGGGTGGAGGTGGAGAGGATGGTTCTTCTTGTGGGAGAATCTAGAACTAGGGAATCACTCTATTAAAAATAAGGGATTGTCCATTTAAAATCGAAATTAGTTTTGTTTTATTCTGAGGGTCATGAGTCTTTAGAACTCTGTACCTGAAAAGGTGGTGGAAGCTGACTTCTTGAATATTTTTAAGCCAAAGGTAGGTAGATTCTTATTAAGCAAAGGAGTGGAAAGTTATCCAGGGAGTTGGGAATATAGATTTGAGGTGACAATCAGATCTGTCATGATCTTATTGAAGGCCAGAGCAGGATTGAAGGGGTTAATGGCTGACACCTGCTCCTGATTCATATGTTTGTAAAAATCATGATGCACATTTATAGTGTGTTCATTGGTGCAGTGTCACAAGTTTAACAGTCAAAGTACACAGTACTATTCTCATAAGTGCAATAGTGACCGTATAATGTTTCTTGTAATGTAGCGTTGTGCTGTGATTTAATGGCATATGGCTGCTGGCTATGGTATTTTTAGTGCTACAAGGTAGTCACTGTCCTGATCACTGTGATTATTGCAGCATTTTACTGGCACCAGTTGTTTCCAGGCCTCAAAAATGGTTCATTTTGTTCCAGTAGCACAAGAGTTTTTTTTCTTTCTTTTGCAGTTGGAAAGAAAAGATCGCGCAGGTATTGGTGACACGATGTATGAAGTGGTGTCCTTGCAAAAACAGTCTGAGAGAGATGGGACTGCTCCTGCTTCAACCGGCTTTATGCTGTACCATGGGAGACAAGCCAGTGTGACCCTCTCCCCCCAGGATGATAAGGATGATGAAGGTATGTAACAAGGTTTAGAAAAACATACTGTTCTTGAATAGAACTACAGTCAAACTCATTTGTAAAAGCAGTATCATTACACAAGACATTAAACAGAGGATACACGTTTACTTACTACATTTTCATGTGGATGCTGATGGAGGCTATTGAATGTTAAAGACCCCTGCCCCCTCTCTCAGAATTTAATCAGTTAAAAAGTAAAGCTTTCATTCCAGATATTATAATTGTCTTCGAGCAGCGTTGACTAATACTTTAGTCATGAACTAGTATGTGGATAATTGTTTCTCTAAGCTTTAAATATAGGGATAAGTAAAAGATGCAATGTTTGTTTGCATGATCTCTATACTAGCGTTTGCATGGCATATGCATGTGAACTTACTGCTTGTGTGTTTGTTGACAGTATAATTAGATGAAAAGCACGAGGTTTGTTTCCTTTGTTTGTTATGATTGCTGTACTTTTTTGGTTACTGACTTGCGTTAGACGTTTATTAAATTACACTTGGCTGGTTGACCAAGCTGTGATGGTGCTTTTTTTTTTAATGTTGAATGGGAGCTATGAGTGCTGTTGATCAGACGGGTGACAGGAATCACTTTGTGGGATCATCATTTACTGGGATCAGTACCAGTGGTGGTTCATTGCAAGCTGCTCTCATGATAGCCGCAGTGAAGTACGGGCCAGTTTAAAAAATGCCAAACTATCTACACCCTTTGTAGAAAGGTCAGATTGTTGCAGCAGCAGCAAAGCTGTACAGTACCATGTTGTCGTAACAGATATTCCTCTACCTTATCAGAGATAGCAGGAACTGCAGATGCTGGAGAATCTGAGATAACAAGGTGCAGAGCTGGATGAACACAGCAGGCCAAGCAGCATCAGAGGAGCAGGAAGGCTGACGTTTCGGGCCTAGACCCTTCTTCAGAAATTTGTTTCCTCTACCTTATAATCTTTCTCCAAGGCCCTCTTAAACAAGACTTCAAATATGTTCCACTTTCTTCAAATAACAATTGAAAAGACCCCTGAACTGGAAGAAGCAAATACTATCCTCTTTTTTCCCTAGCTTTCAGTACTTCAATAATTTTGAAATTGACCTTTGCTCCCCTAAATCATTTCCTGCATTTGGCACTGTCCCAAATACAGTACAGTAATAACTAATACAGTGCTTTTCAGTTGATGCAGAGATTTAATCAGGGGATTATAGCTACATTTTAATTGGTCTAATCAATGTAGGAACTTGTGGTGATCATTTTTAGTGAATCACACTCCCCCTTAGAAAGCCTCAGTAAAGTCCTGTACTCTTGTATCAAAACAGTATTTGCTAACCCTGTATTCGGATGATTATAGTAGCTGAATTTTAATTAGCCTAATCAACTCAGGAGATTCTGACGATCTTTTTGGTATCACACCACATCAGAAATCTCAGTAGGGCTCCACAAAAAACATGCTTTTCTCTCAGGTAAAGAATAAAATTAAAGGATCTGTAACGTTATATGAAAAAAAAAACAAGACTTTTCCTGATGCCTGAGACAGTACTACTACTTTATCCGGGATGACTGTAACAGATTATCTGGCCATTATCATATTGTGACAGTGGGACCCAGGCTGTGTGCACCAGTTAATGACTGCATTGTTGTAACAGTGGCTACTTTTCTAAAGTGCATGAAAAGGCTGCAAAGCTTCTTCGGGGAATGTCTTGAGATTGCAGAGGTTGTTCTAGAATTGCATGATCTTTCTTTTCCTTCCTTCCATCCTTGCTAATCCCTTTCAAAATATTTCTGATTGTCGTGGGCACTTCAATATTGCCAGGGAAAACCTTTTTGAAAGGATATTTCCATTGTTGACCAACCGAGATCAGTGACCTCGTCTGAGTCATTCTTTACAATATCCTTTAGCTGCACAAAGCATAGGTGAGAAAATATCATGGCTTAATTTTAATCAGATTGATAAGTTTGACACTTGCACTGCTGTTGTGCACTTGACTCACAGTGTGCGCAACAAACTTTCTGATCTTGGGAATTCTCAAGGTTCTTCCTAGTCTGTTATTTTTAACACCTTAATTAAGTGGTCATTCTGGTATGAAATTGTAATTGGAATCCTCTGGTGATGCAGTCATGATAAGCCCTTAGTGTGATGAGCATATCCAAGCATATGAGCCGTTTCATTGTGCATAGTCTTGTTACCTGTTCAATTATGCATTACCTTAGGTTTATCTTGATTAAAAATCCATCTGCCATTGCTGTGCTCACCTGCTAAATTAGCCCCAATGTTTGTGAATGTCAAATTAGTCTCCTTACCTGGCCACATTCCTTTACAGCTCGCTATAAAATCATTCCTCTGTGGAACTTTGCTGTTTCCTGTACCCCAGGCAGAGCTATTTTTATCTGGAAATAATGAATCAACATCTGAATATAATTGCTGGGAGAACCAAAGTTACCAGTGTGTTGGCAAATTGTACTTCAAGATAAGGTTATTGATTGATTGACTAATGCCATGCTGAAATCTTGTCTCAGAACAATTTCCTTTTATACAAAACAGAATTTCAGAGCAATTTTTCTTTATTATAGGCTGCAGTTTGTGGTAGGATAAAAGGGAGTTTTTGATATCTGTCATGCGAAGGGGTTGCAGAAATTATGTCTCGAGTCTGGTCAATGCTCCCTTCTTGAGGCATTTGCATTGAATTATGGAATAAATTTAACAAATCCCAAGCTTGTCGATAGCAGTCAGATCTGAGGGTGTGATAAGAAAGGGTCAAGCTCTATTATCTAAAGGCAAAGTTAAGGTTAGGGATTGATGCATATAAAATGGACTCAATAAGTTAAGGCCAGAATATTGCTTGAGTGCAAGTCAAACTAACAGGACAAGGAAAGATAAGTTAGCGAAAAGTGAATTGAAAAATTTCTTCATTCAGGCAAATCAATGATTGGAATGATCGATCAGAAAAGGAGTGGAATGACATTTATGAAAGAAGTTCTATTATGTAATTGGACAATGGGTTGGGTAAGATGAAGATACGGAGCAGTAAACTTCATGAGCAAAGAATTTTTAAAATTGTTAGTCTTTCAGACGTTGTTGTAAAATCTAAGATTTTGCACACCCTTCCACAATTTCTGACTTCTCAAAGGGGTCTAAAGCATGCTCTTACGGTCAGCGGGGTGCATTGGTTTAAAATTAGGTCACCATTTTCGGACAGAAATCGGGGGGAGCTTGTTTCTGAGGGCTGTGTGATATTGGAGCAGCCTGCCTCAGAAGGCGGTTCAGTCAGGGTAATTGAATTTACTCATTTAAGATGGGATAGTTTCTTGTTTGGCCAGGGAGTCCGAGGTTATTAGGGGATAAATGTGAATGTGGAATTTGAAACACACACAGATCAGCCTTGATCCTTTTGAATGGAGGAGCAGGCTCAATGACCAGCCTCCTCCTCTTAATTTTTACATATGCTGAAAATCAAGAAATGCAATGCACTTCCGTAGCCTTTAGCACATTCTGCAATTTCTTGTAAGTTACAATCTACTACTTGACTTATGATGAGAATGAAAGCTGGTCTGTTCTGAGACTCTTTGCTGGTTTTTTGGTCTTGTGATCACAAAAATCCCTGACTTAATCTCGAGAGCATAGCTGTTCAGCAAAGCAATTTACGAGCAAGAGCAATTTTTCTTGCTATTATTACTTGACCTCTTTCAAGATACTTGGGAAGTGCAATGCATATTCATTTAAATGGAAATGCAAGTAGTAAGAACGTGCTGACTCTGATCTGTCACCACCAGAGCGGATAGAGTGTAATCAGTATGCTGTAGCCACTGGAGCATATCTGCAACTTTCACCTGCAATTCTTCAAAAAGAGAATTATGTTTGGGGTTTAGCTCATCCCACTCTCCATAGCCTTGTGCCCTACCCCTGCCAGCTTGTAACACTGTCCTTTCACATTACTGTCGACAGACAGTGGGCTTTCTCTTTCTGCAAACCAGTAAGATTGGGAATTCCAACTACATTGGTAGCACAATTCCCAATGATCGTTGCAATCCAATCCTACTTGAACCTCAACTCTGACTTATTATTTGAATGTTCAGCTTTCATTTACGATGTCCACTGTGGTCGAGGGGGAGGTTTCAATTGATCCTGGCCAACCTCCCATCTTAAATATTAAGCTCGTGCAAACACTTGCTCTATCCCAACTCTTATCAGCTCTTAATAACAGTCACCTCTGTTTGCTGATCATCATTGATGCCTGTTTCAGCAGCACCTCGATTTAAGATTCTTAATGTTCATATCCCCTCATGTCCTTTCCCCTTTCTGTAAGCTGCATCAGCCTTAAAACCTTAGGTTGTAAATCTCTTAACTGTCAGAATCGGGGAAATTATACTGGGGACCAAAGAGCCGGCAGAAAAATTGAACATGTAGTTTGTTCTGTCTTCACAAAAGTGGGCACAGATAGTCTCCTAGAAATATTAGGGAACTGAGGGTCCAGTGAGAGGGAGGAATTGAAGGAAATCAGTATTAGTAAAAAAAAAATGTTGGGCTAATTAATAGGGTTAATGGTTGATAAATTGCCAAGGCCTGATAATCTAAATCCCAAAGTACTGAAAGAAGTGGCTGTGGAAATTTTCCAAAACTCTAAAGGCTGTGCAGCATTTCCTACAGATTAGAGAGTGGCAAATGTAGCCTTGCTATTCAAAAAGGGAGAGAGAGAAAAGCACAGCGAATTACAGACCTGTTAGCTTAGTGGAAAACACGTTAAATTCTGTTATAAAAGATGCGATGTGCAAACAGGATTTAGCAAAGTCAGCATAGGTTTGTGAAAGGCAGATCATAATTAACAAATCAACTGGAGTTTTTGAGGATGGAACTAGTTGAATAGATAAGAGAGAACAATGATAAATGAATGTAGTGTATTTGGATTTTCATAGGTTTTTGATAAGGGGTTAGTGGGAAAAGTTAAAGCATGTAGGATAAGGATAATATATTGGTCTGGATTGAAAATTGGTTGACAGACAGGAAATAAAAGACA